ACACACACACACACACACACACACACAGCACTGTAGCTATACTTAGTGGCTGATGGTTTCTGCTGGTCTCTGAGATAACAAGGTATAGACCAGTTATAACATAACAATCTAGCCTGTGCTCCAAAAACATAAATATAAATACACTCCCCCACCCCCAGTGTTCAGTGTCAGAAAGTCCTTGTGTTTGAGGGGGGATAAATTGTCTCAAATATGCCAGGAATTATCTTAAAAATAATATAGCAAAGGGGATATGCACTCCTCTCCCCTTCAGAAGTAACACAGGAAAAGAGGAAAAGATGCAGTACGGCCGTGTGCCCTGGCCTGGTTGAATTCCCCCGGTAAGCTGTACTAGTCAGCTACTTCCTGTTGCTGCAACTGAATAACTGGTCTTGACAAAACAATCTTAGGAAGCTTATTTTGCCTGGCAGTCGGGGCAGTCATGATGCCTGGCCTCAAGTCAGTTGGTCACGGCACTTCTTAGCATCTGTTGTGAAGTAGCAGATGACGGCCCTCAGCTTACTTTCTCCTTTGTATCCAGTCCACGAATGCTGCCACCACAGTTTAGGGTGGGTCTTCTCCCTACTCGGCCCAATCAGCCATGCCAGTAGGTTATCAGGTAAGCATTAGCCATCCTGCAGCCTACAAATACTCACTTGTTTCCATTCTTCATTCTCATGCTCGAGTTCCTCGGCAGTGTTTTAAGACTGTGTAAGGAGTATAAATGTGTCCAGAAATGTGATGCTCACCTGTCTGGGTGGTGCTGCTGCAGTCTGTCTCTCTTGCTCTCAGGTGGTGGTGCCTCCCAAAGAGCTTGTTTTAGCCGGCAAGGATGCAGCAGCAGAATATGATGAGCTGGCAGAGCCCCAGGACTTCCAGGATGACCCTGAGTAAGTGATCTTTCTGTGATCCTCAGAACAGTCAGCTGATCCAGGGGCCTGGATTCGTCCTTTTGTGTTGCTGTGACCAGATGTGTAACAGGAACGGCTTAGGAAGAAAAGCTTATTTAGCTCCAATTTCAGAGGGAATTTAGTCTATCATAGCAGGAGAGGCATGAAGGTAGGAGAGGCTTCACCTATGCCTTTGACAGTGGGTGCATGAGGTGAGGCCACAAGCTAGTCACATGGTACAGAGAAAGCTCAAAACAGCTGGACTGGAAATGGGTGGATAACCTTCAAATGTGTGCTTTATATGGGCTGCTTTCCTCACCTAGGGCCCACTACCTACCAGTTCCATGGTCTCCAAAATAGCATCACATGCTAGGAACTGAACCTTCAAGACATGAGCTTGTGTGATATATTTCAAGTCAAACCTTAAAATTGCACACTTATGTGTCTGTTTCTTTACCTGAATTTTAAAAACTAATTTTTTCCCTTTATATTTATGAAATAATTACTGTAAGGGCTGGAGTGATGGCTAAGCAGTTAAGAATTTTCTCTGTTCTTCCAGAGGATCCAGATCCAATTCCCAGCACCTAAATGGTAGCTCACAACCATCTGTACTCCAGTTCTAGGGGATCGAATGCCCTTTTCCAGCCTCTAGCAGGCACCAGGCATGTATATGATGCAGAGACTTACAAGCAGGCAAAACAGCTATACATGCTAAATAAACTTTTTTAAAGGAAAATATAAATAGCTCAGCTTCTTCTGAAGACACTCTTCTTTGGTGGTCAGTAGGATGGTGATCGTAGCGGAGGTTCCCATGGAACCAGGAAATGACTAGGAGACTTGGTGACTCGGTTAAATTCTCATCTGCCTAATACTGTGCTTTTCTTTCCTTAGCATCGTAGCTTTCCGAAAAGCCAACAAAGTGGGCATCTTCATCAAAGTCACCCCACAGCGTGAGGAAGGTGAAGTGACCGTGTGCTTCAAGATGAAACATGATTTTAAAAACCTGGCCGCCCCCATCCGCCCGATGGAAGAAAGTGACCAGGGCACAGAGGTCATCTGGCTTACTCAGCATGTGGAACTGAGCTTTGGCCCTCTTCTTCCTTAAAACAAAGTCACCTGGTGGGCAGATGTCCCCACAGCTGTGCCACCACATCTCTGTAACAGTGTGGAAGCTGCTGCTTCATTAGACGTGTTTATAAAGATGTACCCATCACTAAATCCTGTTCCTAGGAGTGGAGGCAGGCCAGGATTGGGAGCACAGGGTCACTGCTGTTCCACCTGCTCTCTCTGTGGACACCAGGAAGTCTGTGTCTCCCGCACTAAGCCCTGCACGTTGAGTACCAGCCTAACTCCATCCCAGTAAATTGGGTGTTCCTCGGAGGGGCATTCGATTTACTCCCTGAGAAATGGGCCTTGTACCTGTCACGGTTTGACCGAAAAACCTTAGAATGGTAATCCAGAGAAGACCTGCTATTCGGGCCCAGCATTGGTCTCTGTTCCAACTGCTTTCGGCATTCCATTAAGGATAACCTAGTAATTATAACCCTTCACTTGCCGTGGCTCTCACTTTGCCGTTGATTTCCATATGACAGAGAATTAGGATTGTCACAGTGTCTCTAACTTTGTGATGACAGGACATGGCTTTCTTAAGGCACTCCATTTGTCTCCTGTAAAGGACTACAGTATACCTATCCGTTGTCCTTCATTTTCCTCAGTAGTACACGGAACTTTAAGGATTTGAGTTGCAAGCAATTACATACCACGAAGTTCCATTTGTTTTAATATTACCCTAATATTCAGGGGCTAATAATGCCACAGGGAGACAGCCTTTATAGATCTCACTCTCTGCCCTTCTCTACTCTGGTTTTGTTTTGTGGGGTGAGTGGATTTTGTTTTTGTTTGTTTGGTTTTGGTTTTTTGTTTTTGTTTTTGTTTTCTTTTCCATTTATTTTTTCACATAGGTTCCCTCCATGTAACTCTGGCCTGGAACTCCATATGTATACCAAGCTAACCTTGAACTCACCTCCTAGGAGTAAAAACACTTGTCACCACACCCAGCTCTCTGCTCTGTTGTGTAATTCAAGGAATGTTCTAATGTTGGGTTTAGAAAGAGAGCCAAGACAGTGTAAATGGACATACTCAACTCTGGGATTCAGAGAACATTTTAAACTTTGCCTTTTTAGCATGATATAAACTGACGTGTTTCCACTGAGCTGAAGGAGAAATTAACCATCAGTCTCTTAAATCCAAAACTGGATGTAAAAAGAACCTTTCCCTTGGTGGGTGTAAGACTTGTGCTGATTCAAGTGAGACCATTTCGATGGTAAGCCACAGCAGTTGAGCAAGGAGCCAGAGTGCTGGCCTAACCCAGACATGCCGTTCCTCTCCAGTTCTAACACTGAGTTGCAAACCTTGATTTCTGGGATGTTTTCTAAACGAGTTGAAAGCCAACCAGCTGCACCACTTCCCTGAAAGTTCCTAGCACATGGCCAGCAGCCCTTGGAAGAGTTCCTGTCTACAAACCCCGCTTTGGTCTTCACTTTCTGTCTTTAGGAGCTTTGGTTTGGTTTGTTTTAAGGGATAGAGAATCTGGACTACAGATAGAAAATAGTCTTGGTTAGTTCCCCTTAAAAGAGGAAACTAGGAAGCTATTGAAAGACACTGTCTTCTTTAAGATCAAGCCAATTTTATGAAACAATATTCTCACAGAGTAATATATTTACCTCAGTATAAGAAGAATACTGGTGTTATGAGAACAGTAACTAAAGTTTAACCTCATAGAAGCTGGAGCAGGGAGTTGGGTAATTACAAGTTTTAAACTACAGAAAGTGATTTTTTTTATATATATAACTTCACAAAGCCTCAAGTTCGAGCCTTCTGTGAAACCATTCCTCAGTGTCTGCTTGGGTGGGGGGAATCAAAGTGCAGGTGGCTTCCTAAGTCCACACATTGTGGAGACCGTTGTCTGCATGCCTTTAGGCGGTGAAACTGATACTTACTCCCCAGAAAACGTTGACATATGGGTCTACTCCTGGGTGATAAACACTGAAAACACTTTTGAACATACAATGTCTGTTTAAGAAGTCAAGTTAACTTAAAAATAACCGCTGTTGGCTGTTTCAAGGTGAGTTTAGTGTAAGCTGGTCTTGTGTTCTTAGAAAAGGTTCAACACCTGCAGCTGGTGAATTAGGAGTTGCGCCGATCGATCACCCTTCTGGTATTAGATCAGGTGCAGCTGTAGCTGGTGAATTAGAAATTGTGTCTATCGCCCTTCTGATACTAGGTCAGTGCAGGGTTTTTATTACTAGTCAGTGTGCACCAGGACTCAAGAGTCAGGAGTCCTTAGCACTTGAAACTACAATTTGGAAACTTAAAGCTAAGTTACTTTAGGTTTGTGAATTGATTTACACACCAAAATTTTCTTTTGTTCCAAATATATGCTATAAGCATACTGCACTAAATGCCACTGCATCTTTGTAATAAGCATCCTTCTTGGCTCCTTTTGGGGATGAGAGGCACTCCTTGACTTATGAATAACAAGTTACTGTTTTGCCTTATTGCTTAATGTAGTGAAATAAAGCGACAAAACTTGAGTGTGTCTCCTGTTTGATTTCACAAATACTGGTTAGAAGCTATACAACTCGGGGCCTAAAGATCAGTTCATAGATACGACTTTATGGTAGGCACCCTTCCATTTCTCTCTCTCTCTCTCTCTCTCTCTCTCTCTC